AATCCTCCTTTTCCTCAATCTCCAATCCCCCTTTTCCCACTGAAATCCTCCTTTTCCCCACCTGAATCCTCCTTTTCCCCACCTCTCCAACCCCTTTTCCCGGCTAAATCCCATTTTTCCCACCTGAATCCTCCTTTTCCTCACTTCTCCAATCCCATTTTCCCCACTTAAATCTTCATTTTCCCCGTCTAAATCCTTCTTTTCCTCACCTCTCCAACCCCCTTTTCCCGCCTAAATCCTCCTTTCCCTCACTTCTCCAATCCCCTTTTCTCACCTAAATCCACCTTTTCCCAACCTCTTCAATCTGCTTTTTCCCACCTAAATCCACCTCTTCCCAACCTCTTCAATCCCCTTTCTTCCCACTTAAATCCAACTTTTCCTCACCTCTCCAACCCCCCTTTTCCCACCTAAACCCCCTTTTTCCCACCTAAATCCCCCTTTCCCTCACTTCTCCAATCCCCTTTTCCCATCTAAATCCTACTTTTCCTCACCTCTTCAAGCCTCTTTTCCTCACCTCTTCAATCCCTTTTTTCCCACCTAAATCCATCTTTTCCCCACCTCTCCAACTCCCTTTTCCCACCTAAATCCACCTTTCCCAACCTCTTCAATCCCCTTTTTTCCCACTTAAATCCAACTTTTCCTCACCTCTCCAACCCCCCTTTTTCCCACATAAACCCCCTTTTTCCCGGCTAAATCCTCCTTTCCCCCACCTCTCCAATCCCCTTTTCCCACTGAAATCCCCCTTTTCCCCACCTAAATCCACCTTTCCCAACCTCTTCAATCCCTTTTCCCCCACTGAAATCCTTTCCCCCACACCTTCAATCCCTTTTTCCCCACTTAAATCCTCCTTTTCCCCACCTCTCCAACCCCCTTTTCTCACTGAAATCTTCCTTTTTCCCACCTAAATCCTCCTTTTCCCACCTAAATCCCCATTTCCCACCAAAATCCTCCTTTTCCCCACCTCTCCAACCCCCTTTTCCCCACGAGCTGTGTTCATCCTCTGGAGAAAACCCAAACCATCCGTCCCTGCCCCATCCCGGATTTGGGATTTGGCCGCCAGGGCTGGGGTGGCGTCTCCAGCCTCTCCAGGGGTGTCCAGCTCTGGAACGGCACCTTTGGGTGCTCTTCCCAAACACCTTTTCCCCCTGGATTTGGGATCTCCTGGCAGCTCAGCCTGGGGGGGCTGAGCCAGGGCGGAGGGGACAGGGGAAGCTCTGGGTTGTCCCCAAAAAATCCAGATGTCCTCCAAGGGCAGCAGGAGGTCGGGATGGCACTGGAAAGGGGCTTTGCCTTTTAATTGGGATCCCTGAATCCTTTGGGATCCCTGAATCCTTGGGATCCCTAAATCCTTGTGATCCCTGAATCTTTCAGGATCCCAGAATCCTTCGGGATCCCAGATTCCTTCAGATCCCAGAATCCTCAGGATTCCTGGGATCCCTGAATCCCTTAGGATCCCTGAAACTTTGGGATCCCTAAATCCTTGTGATCCCTGAATCTTTCAGGATCCCAGAATCCTTTGGGATTCCCAAATCCTCAGGATCCCCGAATCCTTTGGGATCCCTGAATCCTCAGGATCCCAGAATTCTTCAGGATTCCACAATCCTTCCAGGATCCCTGAATCCTTTGGGATCCCTGAATCCTTGGTATCCCTGAATCCTCCAGGATCCCCAAATCCTTGGAATCCCTGAATCCTTTGGGATCCCTGAATCCCCCAGGATCCCAGAATCCTTCAGGATCTCAGAATCCTCAGGATCCCTGAATCCCCCAGGATCCCAGAATCCTTCAGGATCCCAGAATCCTTGGGATCCCTGAATCCTCGGGATCCCAAATCTTTCAGGATCTCTGAATCCTCAGGATCTCAGAATCCTTCAGGATCCCTGAATCCTTGGGCTCCTGAACCCTTGGGACACCAGAATCCTTGGGATCTTAGAATCCTTTGGGATCCCCAAATCCTCCAGTATCCCCAAATCCTCCAGGATCCCAGAATCATCAGGATCCCTGAATCCTACAGGATCCCAGAATCCTTGGGATCCCAAATCTTTCAGGATCCCTGAATCCTTGGGATCCCAAATATTTCAGGATCCCTGAATCCTTGGGATCCCAAATCTTTCAGGATCCCTGAATCCTCCAGGATCCCAGAATCCTCAGGATCTCAGAATCCATCTGGATCCCTGAATCCTCAGGATCCCTGGATCCTCTGGGATCTCAGAATCCTCTGGGATCCCTGAATCCTCAGGATCCCTGGATCCTTTGGGATATCAGAATTCTCTGGGATCCCTGAATCCTCAGGATCCCTGGATCCTCTGGGATCTCAGAATCCTCTGGGATCCCTGAATCCTCAGGATCTCCTGCAGGGCCGCGCTGGTGGCTCTGGCCTTGGGGACAATGGGACAGAAGACCCCCCAGCCCCAGCCCTGTCCCCTTCAGGGGGGCTCACCTGGGATTTGACGTTGCTAATTAGCAGCGCCCTCCAATTAGGCCAATTAGGAGCAGCAGAAGCTGGGAGCCAGCGGAGGAAAATCCATGGATTTGGCCGGGATGTGGAGGGGAGGGAATGAGGGATGAGGAGCCTTCAAAAGCAGCACCTGGGCTGTGGAGGGTGATCCGTCATTCCCAGGAAAATAAAAAACGAAGGAAAATTCAGCGTTTGTTCCCAGGCTGGGGCTGGGCCTCGTCTGTCCTCTCCTGAGGGATGGGATTCCTGGGATGAGATTCCTGGGATGAGATTCCCGGGATGGGATTCCCGGGATGGGATTCCCAGGATGGGATTCCCGGGGTGGGATTCCCGGGATGGGATTCCTGGGCTGGGACTCCAGGATGGATGCAGGTTGGGATTCCTGGGGTGGAGGTGAGATGGGATTCCCAAATGGCTGCAGGATAGGATTCCCGGGATAGGATTCCTGGGATGGGATTCCTGGGATGGGATTCCCAGGATGGGATTCCAGGATGGATTCAGGTTGGGATTCCTGGGATGGAGGCGAGATGGGATTCCCAAATGGCTGCAGGATAGGATTCCCGGGATAGGATTCCTGGGATGGGATTCCTGGGATGGGATTCCTGGGATGAATTCCCAGGATGGGATTCCCGAGCTGTGGGTGGGATGGGATTTCCAGGATAGATTCAGGCTGGGATTCCTGTTATGGAGGCGGGATGGGATTCCCAAATGGCTGCAGGATGGGATCCCCAGGATGGGATTCCTGGGATGGGATT